TAGAGGAGGCGGCAGCCCCTTGGAAACTCTCAGCCCGGTGGGGCAGAATGCCGAGTCCACGGTGTTTCTGCAGCATGGTCCTTACCAGTAGACTTCTCGTCTTCACAGTGTCTTTATCTCTTCTTTCTCTTAGTTACTGAAGCACAAATGGCTTCAGGGAAATCGAAATACTAGCATTTGAATGTTACACATAATGTTCTTGGTAGTTTCTTCTTATTTCTCAAGGGTGTACTGCTTCCTTTTAGTAGATGAGCCTCTGTTTTACGCTTTTCTCTCGGTTTGGGTCCTGAAGTTTGACCGTGAGAGTTCTCAGTGGTGTGTGGAATAGGAGAATATAAAAATAAATCTGCCAAATACACTCGAAAGCGTTTGACTAGAAGTGCTGGTTCCCATTTAAAACGTCTCTCTTTGCTGCATATGCCAGGACGGAAGTAAAAATGCCTTACTAGTTAATTTTTGTATTGTCGGAGACCATGGTTTTAATAAATTCCTATTTATCTGCGACTTAACTGAGGTCTTTGAAGTGGTCTTAAAACCACATTTCAAGTCTTGTTTCCCTTCAACTATCTACATGGAATTCTCGGCCTGAGCATCTTTATCATAAGAGACATAGAAGTCTTTCAAATGCTGTATCATAGTTCATGCTTGATTGTTTTCAAAACCCCGAATAGGGAAACTATTAGTATAGCGTAAGCAGGAAGTTACTGATGTGTGTGTGTGTGCGTGTGTGCGTGTGTGCGTGCGTGTGTGTACGCGTGTGTGTGATTTCCAGTGACTGCATTTGCTCCCCGGCTTTAAAACCCTAAGAACTGCTGCTGTATTGTCTGGAACGGTAGACTGTCGGTTCCTCAAGTTATACCCGTGCAGCTTGGGTCTGAGTTTTTAACGAATAATTAACTTTTAAAGATGTGTCTTCAGCATAAGAGCAGTTTGAGTTGTATCCCCGGCTTTCCCCGGGTTAATATTAAGGCTCTGTTCAATCGTTTGAATTACAAAGTAAATACTGTGCAATCATGGTGAAGGAGTGTAATCTGATTTTCAAAAGCTGAATCACATTTCATATCTTGAAGTTATGTAATGGAAACAGTAAAATTCGAGACCACTGGCAAGACCACTGGAACATGCCATCTTTTGGGGGGGCTTGCGTGCGTGGTTTTGGTTGTGTTGATTTGTTGGCTTGTTTTTAAAGAAACTGAAACAGCTATATCCGCCAGTGGGACGAACTGTGTTTTGCTCTGAAGACCGTGACATCGTTCAGGCTCACATTGTGGCTCCTAGATGACAAAGAATAATGCTAGTTAAATGCCAATGAACTATTTTTACTCTTTTTATACGAACTGTACAAATTTGGGGGGTGATGGTGGCAGTGGTGCCTCTAACTACCTTCTGTGAAACACTTGAACTTTCTCATCTGTATTGCCATCACCTGTTTGACACCCCAGTATATTTTCTCAAAGTCTGTTCACCTGAAACTGTATGGAATGACATAATTGATAAGCAATAAAACCTGAACTACACGCTCATTTTTCTATGTGTTTTATTTCAAATCAATTGCGAGAGAATTGTTGATTTTACAGATTTGCACAGACTTAGGGTGTAAGATGTGCCCTCCTACCAGATACTGTTTAAAATCCTGGGATGGGGCGCCTGGGTGGCGCAGTCGGTTAAGCGTCCGAC